ATAGATCAAGTTCAACTCCATTTACAATGTATCTATTTATCACATACATGCATTGTTTAAGTAGTGGTAGTGAATGTTGGCCGGAAAATATCATTGGAATTTAGTTCTCTCTTATCTGATCGTTACAATACCTGATAAAATATTTGTTTATAACAGTTTATTTTTATAAGTGTGTTTTTTAAAATATGCACTACATCTACTGGGTTACACATTCTTTATCTGTTTTACAAAGCTAATTATTTTTCTGTAAAGTTAATTAGTATAAGCCTTACGACTAAAATTCTTGATTTAAACACAAATCCGTACACTGTCATCTTACTGATTTTCGTGGATTTTACTGAATTTATTATAAGGCCATAAACACAGTTTTATAAAAAAAAATAATACAGAAACCTATCTAAGGACAATAAATGTAGCAGGTTAATGTTATTACTATTATTATAATTGTTTCCTTTAGTTCCTAGAGGAATAAAAGGCTTCAGTCGCACGTCTCCAATGCGTTTGGTATTCCACCAACGTTTTCACCTGCCTGCATATCTGCCCATATGCTTTCATATTCTCTTCGCATCACCTCCTCCTCCATGTCACCCTCACACTGACGACCAACTCACCGCTTTCCATTCCGGTTCCACTCGAGCAACGGCCTAGCGTGTGACATCACTTGGCAGTTTGTTTTCTCAGAGTATGGCCAGCCAATCCATCTCCATTTCTTCCTTCATATTTGTTGCACAATTGGTTCCTGCTTTATTGGTTCGCTCCCAGAGTTCCCTCCCTGTTGCTGATCTTTTCTGGCTGGCCATCTGATCTTGAGTGGAGTATTGAGCGAAGATGGCTGATGATGAAGAAGTGTAGTTTGTTGCAAGTGTCCTTCATGACGTGGCGCCAAGTCTCTGATCCGTATAAAAGTGGCACTGACTTCACAACGGAGTTGAAAATCCTGATCTCAATTTTCATGCTGAGGAGTGCTCTTGATCTCCACACAGACTTGAGATTATTATGAGCTCATTATTTTTTATTGGTTCATGGAATTCTTTCAACTGTTTACAATACAAATAAATGCCAAAATAGACAAATTACAAAAAGTGCAGTTTGACGATGTTTTTATCAAAAGAAATTATTTTGGTTGATAGTGATAAATAGTGGAATACAGTATGTGTAATTTCTTCCAGTTTGGACTCACCATCTGAATATACCTGGATCCCCAGTGGGTAGAAATGTCTCCAGTGAGACTTGTACTTTACTTGTACTCTGTACAAGAAGTTGACATGTCAGTAGAGACTGAGCATTTTCGTCCAACATGATAAATCGAGGGGAAATGCAAAAATTTGTCGGAAAATACATTTATCGATTTGAAGAATGAATTATTTTTCAAGATTTGGTTTGTAAGGATAAAATTCGCTTTTACGAGTTTGACCACGGATTGATATCAGTTAGAAAGCCATTTAAAACTAGGAAGTACTGAACAGCTGTTTCATCCTAGTTTTTTTAGGAATCATCGGCAGTATGCATCCATCGTCAAGGTTCGAACCCAGGGCCTTCCGGTTACAAGGCAAGCTCGTACATCATTTAGCCACTGGGGTCCGATTTAATGTCCCATGAATTGGTAGAAGTTAGAATTCATGTGCCTTTAGCTCGAAGCCCTATGTTCCACTGGAAACTTGAAGGAATAAAAAAAAAGAATTCATGTGCTGGCCACTCAATCGGCTCTCAGTAGCTAAATGGTATACGAGCTTGCGTTGTAACCGGAAGGTCCCGGGTTCGAACCTTGGCGACAGGTGAGTACTGTCAGTGATTCCCAAACTAGGATGAAACAGCTGTTCAGTTCTCCCTGTGGCTGGTTTTCAATGCTTCTTTAACTGATATCAATCCGTGGGCGAACTTGTAAGAAAAAATTATTATTTGGAACTTTGAGTTACATGAATTTGGGATCATATAGGTAGTTGATATACTAAGCGTCAAAAGGATTGATTATTCAAAAAGATCCCTAGGCCGATATTCATCTACACATTCAGTTCCTCCAAGGTGATTTGTTTTGAATGAACGATTAGATAAATCAAAAACGACTAAATTCCAATTTCCAGATACAACCGATTGTTTCTAATAATTTGCCTGTGAAAGCACATACATTCAAAAAGAATTGGAAGAAGGTTTATGATTTTCACTTCATAACACATCTTGGTGAACCTAAGACTAATAGGCTTACAGAGACTAAACAAGAAGACTTCAAACCATTTGTTGGATGCTAGTCATATTGTGGACAGTCTGAAGGTATTCAAAAGAAATGACTGACAAATGAAAGCAACTGCTGTCAAGCGATTGACATCAAATCTATGCATACAGAAGGCGGTAGTGGTCAATCTGACATTTCCTCGTGGATTACATTTACAAACATGGAAACTCAGTTTTACTCCACCGGTTAGTCATCTGTGTCTTCTGTCTCTAAATTGTTTTCCCCTGCCTGAACGTTCATCACTTTATACAATTTTTGCAATTTCACAGTCTCTTATATTGACATGCTATTTCTATTTAAACTTTGTTTCAATCTGAATTTTGACCTCCTTTGTGAAAAATATACGTTTACAAGTGCTAGTTTGTAGGGATTTGATCGACTTCAGTTTTTATTGAGAATTCACTTAGGTTAGAGAGACACTGAAAACCAGAGAGTATATGACAGCTGTTTGCCCATGTTTTGGGAACCTTCAGTTGTACGCATCCATGGCGCTACACTGAAGGATCAAATCCAGGACCTTCAGGTTAAGAGGTGAGATTGCCGAACATTATTCAGCTAGTGGGACAAAATCCAATAGCCCATCAGTTTGAACGTCTGTGAATTCACTTTTCAGTTTCCAATCGTTTTCTTAATGACGTTAATTTTATCACGAAAACTAGTTTGAAATCAATATTTTTCATAACATCTTCAATATATATATATATATGCATATATATATATATCGATTTAAGCCATTGGTGGTTATTTATAGCTCACTGGTAAAGTCTTGAAATCAATCGGATCTTAGAAATATATGCTGATTACTGGACAGAGTTGCCTAGAGCTCTCATGAGACATCATTACAAGTGAGGTGCACTTAATCATGTGTGAGGAGAGACACTCGCCGCCGATGACAATGCCAGGTGGTGGTGCTAAACATCGCGAATCGACGGAATTCCTCGGCCATTGGATTCCGCCTAGCAGACTGAATAGCCATCGAGCTCACCTCATAACCAGAAAGTTCTGGGTTCGTCCCCTAGCTGTACGGTAGTGGATGTGTTCTGCTGAAGAGCCTTATATCAAGTCGAAATAACCATCTAGTACTCCCTAGTTTTCAATGTCTCTCTTATTAATATCAATTTATGATCAAACTAGAAATATCCATATAGTTATCCTATAAATAGTCAATTATTTTAACTACTTACATCATCCTAAATTCATGTCATTCGTAGTTACCACCAATAAGTCATTGTCAATTCGATAAACGTATGCTCAAATGTTTTTCATAATTTATACATTTTGCCATTGTTTCGATTATAAATATTTGGAAAGACTCTATGAACTAACAAAATTCATATTATCTTGCTACATTTATTCTTATGGCTTTGTTCACATTTCTCAATAGATAGAACTATAAAGCGACTAACAATCAAAAATAAACGTGCTCAGAGTAGTAGTACCTATAAGGAAAAAAAGAATCCGCGTTAAATTTTTTCAGCAAAATAAAAATAGTTAACTGGACAGTTTCCAACTGCTTACATATTCATCTACGGTTGCACTTAAAGTTGAGATCAATTGGTTGGTTGATGTGATGTATAGATATTATTCAAGTTCGTCTCAGTCCCATGATAGTATGCACTTTGTTCTGTACACTGTTTTGTACAAGGTTAATATTGGTGCTGTTTTAAATTTTAAAAGTGTGTTAAGGTTACTCTCCTGACCAACCAAATAGAATATTTTTTAACCTTATTGAAAACAAGTGTAGATCTGTGTGAATTATAGGTATAAAACCGCCTGACATTATGCCTATGGGAATTTAATACATTTATTCACCAGATATATTATGTTGAGTGACATTATTTATATTGAACAAAACACAAAGGGATCAGAGCTGTAACAACGATTGCAATAGATCACTTTCCAAACGACTCAATGAATTAAAGACCGGGAAATTTAAAAGTTTATTGGGAGAATGACATATTTCATTTTGTTTGCTTGAAACATGCATTGTAGTGAAGAATATATCAGTGGGAAAATTTACTACTGTCGTCATCATGTGTGAAGCAGCCTGTATTCTAAAGTTTTAGGAGTTCATTTTCTGATTTATAGTTCTGGATACAAGTTAAAGCATCTGATCACTATACAACACTCTGAAACCAATATGACAGTAATAATGATAATAATACAAAAGTACATCAAGTAGATCATCCATTTCTAATCAATAACTAGTCTGATTCTTGCTGCTGGCTGACTACACGAAGAAATTGCTTGGAGTTCTGGTGAGAAATCATAACCAGTGGAGTCCACCCGGTCTGGAGTGCGGACAAATACTGACTGCCGATGATACTGGCTGGTGGTTACTTTAAAATCAAGAATTGGTAGAGGTTAGAATTCATGGGTTGGCCACTAAGTTGGGTTCCAGTGGCCGAATGGTCCACCAAACTCGCCTTGGAACTTGAAGGTAATGATTTCGAACCCTGATGGTTGGTGAGTCTTAAACTAGGACGAAATCGCCGTTCAGTACTCCAGTACCTTCTAACCAATGTCCGCCCTTGGTCAAACTCGAAACAAATCAAATCCCAACGAACAAACTCTTGTAAATCTAATAAACATGTCCAATATAAGACATGATTATTCTGAACAAAACGTTTATTTGATAAAATACACATATATTACGTTTATTTACTTCACTCACCAACCAATCAGGTTCATGCAATTTTTCACATTACAATCTGATTGGCTGATTCATTTGCATCACTGGATATTTAAACAATGAAGTTGACTGAAGTACAAAAAATAAAACAGTTTCATTTATAATAAATACCAAATTATTTAAGAAAAGTTTCAATTATAGGAATAGTGAATTAGTGAAATTATGTAAGTGAAGTGATAAATGATATTTTTGGTGTATTGATTAATAATTACTGGTTAGATTTCAGTTATCTTCGTGTTGTTTCATTGTGTATGATGTTTGTGATTAACTCACATGTACTCAGGGTTTTTTCCGTTCGGTGATTTGTCTCAGGCTGGGATTACTAAGTAGGAATAAAATTTGACCAGTAGTCTTCACATGTGTCTGTTTATCGGTTTTAGGGGTACTCAGTTTTTTTTTTTGAGTTATATTTGAATTTTGATAAAAACGAAGCGTTTTGTGGAGATTTTTATTGTTAATATTTATCTGTGTGTTCTTATGAGGTACCGCTGAAATTGATTATTATTATTTTATTCCACTTGTATTCATAATGGAACCTAGGACTTCAGGCACTGAGCGTCGAAGTTTCAGTAACACTCCCAGCCATTCCTCTCCACTGGGATTACTAACGGTTTAGAGAGATTCGGGAATGCATCGGCTGGAGACTGAACTCCGGACCATGTGAGGTATGGTTAGTGAGCATTCTACTTCTACAACACCGATATGTGTTACAATTTTATGAACTATTATACTATATATTTGAATTCAAATAGCAGTTCTGTAGTTTTAATTGAGTTTTAGATTTTCCCATCGATTGATTGGACCGAAGTGCTTGGTCTCAGGTTGTCATGTTGGCTTCTTGTGCAGATGCTTCGACGATGTCTGGGCATTTAATTAGAATTTAATTGGTGGATGGTGACTAGCAGTGGATAACTAGTGGATAACGCTTTGGCGTTTGAAACTATGGGCACTGGGTTCGAGCCTCGGTGGTGGGGACATCATCACTCACTGGGAAATGCAGGTACATCCAGATGGTGAGTCCCAAATAGGACGAAATGCGCGTTATCCTGGATTATTCCACTGCTAGTCACCATCCGTTAATTAAGCAGTTCTGTAAGTGAGGAATCAAGCAGAACTGATAGGAGAGCATCTATGTTTTATATCATTTAATTAATAGCTGCTTAGCATTGAAATCAAGCACACAGGCTTCATTTGATCTGAGACTCATCATATAGACATGCCTGCATCATACACTCTGAGGTTTGAACCTAGTATCTATAGGTTGGAATACCAGAACACTAATCAACAAAGCCACTAGACCAGAAGACCCATATTTTGTTATCTATTCAAGTTCATGTGCTTAAAACGATGGATACTGAGTCTGAGTCTGAGAGAAGCAGTTGCATCCAGTTGATAAGCCTCAAATAGGATGAAATGCACACACTGGATTCCATTGTGAGACATCATTAACTAAAAAGTACGGTGTGTATTGTTATTTAAATTTCTTTTATCCCTGTGTATGAATCATTTAATTTAAACTGATTACCTGCTTTATTCAGTGGCTGTATAATTCTGTGTAATTATAAATTTATCTAATCTTTTACACATGTGAAGGATTTCTGTTGTCATGATAACCCAATTTCACCCTCAGTAATCCAGGAGGGTGACCTGGTTCGAATTCTGTCATGAGTTGGATTTTCATTTCACACCTACAATCTTCACTAAAACCTCCATGCTATTCTAAATAATCAAAATCGCCAAATTTCTGAAAAAAATTGATTTAAAATGCTAAGTTTTTGCATTTTCCAAGCTATTGAAAAATTTATTGAGTTTGCGAAAAATTCAAATGAATAACTAACTTCCACTGAATTTAGTGCTTCATTTCATGCCTTATAGAAATCAACGTCATCCTCTTTATATTTTTCTATTTGTCTCATGTCATCCGTTAAAAGTTCATATACATAAATTTAGTTTCACTGTCCTCTTTTAAAGAATGATTTATCAAAACGGTGATCTCATTCAATTGTTTTTAGATATATTTAAATTTGAGTGATATATATATATATGTATAGGTTGGTTTTATTTATTTCGAAACATTTGTGAATAACACTCACATTTGTCAGAAATGAGAGTGAGTGCTGATAAGGTAGATAATTAACAGTTTTAGAATCTTTTTTGCGTTGTATTATCTGTTGAAACAATAGTGGTGTGATGGGAGAAGACAAGAGACCTGGTAACACACATTGTTTATTTGCAGTTTAACGTCTGTATTTAGGGAATTTATGTATACTATATGTATTTGAATTGTCATTTGTACAGATCGCCAGTGTTGTGCTAATCCTGCCCATCATATTGGATTTCTTTGTCTGCTTTTCGTCCCTCTCATGTTTCGCTGCATTTACTGGTTCATTTCCTCTCTTTGACGTCACATCCTGGTGGGTGTGTACTACTGAAGAGTCCCAAACTAGGACGAAACAGCTGTCCAGTACTCCAAGGTTTTCCAATGGTTCTCTAACTAATGTCAGCTCATGATTAAAATCCTGTAACCAATCAAATCCCTACAAACCAACACTTGAATATCTCTTTGTTATTTGATAGTTTTGTGCCGATGAACATCTCTTTATATAGATGAAGGAGATGGACTTTTCAGTATTAGCTTTGTAGCCAGTTTAGACCAGGTGGTCTAATATCGGGCTGTTGATGCTTTTCACTACACTTTTACTTGACCACTGGTAGATGTTCCCGAGTGAGCACGAAAAATCAATCCACTTTAGCTGGCTCCACAGTTGTCCATAATCTGTCATCTCCTCCCTCCATGATCCCTTCCATATCACAATTAGAGGCACATCAAACTTATCCTTTCCTATTTGTCTTCCAATTGCGATTATGCCTGACGCTCAGTGTCACTCAGCTTCCTGGTTGTTCTGTCGCCTAATACATCTCCTTGTTGCTTGTCTTTTCGGGATGGCGATCTGATCTTCATTATGCAGTGAAAGCGGGTGTTGATAAAATTCTGCTGTAGCCTGCTGGAAACGGCTTTGATGATCCAGCATCAAAGTCTGTGAACAATATAGAAGAATGGACTGGACATTGATTCCAGTGTAATAAAAAAGCATTTTACCTTTCTGATCCTCACTGTGACATTCTGATCCGTGCCGCCTGCAACTAAAACCACAATTTTCAAATTAGTGGGAGAAGTGACCTCTTTTAAATTATTCTTTCCTGTTTGCTAATTAGTTAGGTATTTTCATCACCTCTCTCTTCTCTAGGTTTGCTTGAAATACTGTCTTTGCTGCCAGCCTCCTCTGCTCCAAGTCCAAGACTTCTAGAGTCTTCTTATCGAACCAACATAATGGACAGACTTATCTTACTTAATCCAGTGTTTACTTCAAAGGCATCGCTACCTGTAATACACAAAATATTTTACTTTCCAACTAGCTTTGTCAGTTGAGCATGATTTGTAATGGACAAAAAATTCCCACATAAAAATTCAATATTAAAAAAATATTTTCTTATTTATTTAACTCATATTCTGAAGGATCCTTGAATTAAACGAAAGTTCAAGTTTTAACCTGTGCAGATTAAATTCATCTCCAATGTAGTGCTGTGTTGTCAGCTTTGAGCATAGCTTTCTTGTTATGTGACGAAAGATTATGCAGCGACTTATCTAATATGAACAAGGTTTGATTTTGTGCACTTAACGCATATGTCTAATAATAAAGAATGCAAGCTTGCATCCACTATAATCACGTCCATAAGTTATAAAACTTAGATACTTACATTGAAAGTTACTCGTTTTAACTGGTTGAAAATGCCACTAAAATTTTCCAAAAGAGTGGTTACTGAACTAGGAATATTCTTTTCAATAACTCATTCTTCATCAAGTCCTACAGTTAAAGACGCTTTATAAATATAAAAACAATTTACTCCCCACAGTGCATAGAAAATATATATCTATAATTTGTTATTAATAATGTTCTCTGAGCTGGTTGGTTTGGTTGCGGAGCTTTCGTCGTCCTTCTGGACAAGATCTTCAGAGCAATATTTAGCATAAAGTGAAATGATTTAAATTTTAATTTTAATTCGAAGGGGACGCCCACTTTGACCGATCTAATGACTTACCCAATCAAATTGACGTCCATAATTGTCTATATGCATTGATACTAAAGAATATATATCGTGTCTTTTCACGGCTTTTTTGAGTTCCTGGATTTTGATTCGAAGGGGACGCCCACTTTGGCCGATGTAATTCCTGTTACAGTTCATACAATTTATTTTGTAAATGGTATTAATCTTATTTCCTTTTTCTTTTGGATCTTTCGGTTTGCATAATATCGAATTGAGCGATTTGACTGGCTTGTGTGAGTGTGTGAAAAGACACAATATATATTCTTTATTATCAATGCATATAGACAATTATGGACATCAATTTGATTGGGTAAGGCATTAGATCGGCCAAAGTGGGCGTCCCCTTCGAGTTAGAATCCAAGAACACAAATCAATGGTGAAAAGACACGATGTATATTCTTCAGTATCAATGTATATAGACAATTATGGACATCAGTTTGATTCGGATAATGGCGAAATCTTAGATAGAGGAAACACTAAAAGTGCCAGGGAATTCCCAGAAGCCTGGTACTCAGACGAAAATGCACTTAACAAACACGTTAATATAGACGAAATATACCAACTAATGAAAAGTAAATCAGGTGACCAGAAAGTTTAAAATTCAAGTCAGTAGAAAATGGTCAATACATATGTAAAGGCAGTTACCGGGAGAAGCAATTATATCACTCATGAGGAAATTTAAATCATTTCACTTTATACTAAATATTGTGCTGAAGATGTCCAGAAGGACGATGAAAGCTCCGCAACCTAACCAACCAGCTCAGAGAACACTACTAATTGCAAATCATCCGCTTGAGCTACAAATCTTCTCTAATATATATACAATCTTAATGGATGTGAGTATTAGGAGAGTTTTCATTGTTGACCCGTTAGAGGTGAAATGTGATATTTAAAATAGATCATTTTCTCATAAACATTATAACAAAATCACCTCATTATCAGGTTCTACAGTTATATAAACATAATAGTGAGTGAATTAGTGTTATTAACAACAACATTAATGTTATCTAAATAACATCGAATCAATAATAACAATATTATCAATGGATTACAGTTC